TTGTGATAGCTTCTTCTGTGGATATTCCTTTCCCTCTGGAACAGCATGTAAAAGTTTCCTAGAAATTCTATTATTCGAAAGTGTAGTCGCATAACTTTCTGAACTAGCTCGTGAAAAGCCAACAATTGAAGCAAAGAATGCAACCATCACCAAAACAGACAATAACGAAATCATCACTGAGCTCTTCACAATCTCATGCTTTGTATTTTCTTCCTTCTTTACCACTTTCTCATTATTCACAACTTCCTTCATTTCCTTGCCTTTCAAATCATCCCCACGTTCCTCTTTCTTTACAATTTTCCTATAAATCTTTGGAATTATCACGAAAATTATATATTGAACAATCATGACTACATCCATCAACACAAAATAGGCACTCAACAAAATCTGAGTAATTAATTGACCACTCATGATACCTGCAGTCATACTTGCTGCATCTCCTAATGTAATTTGGATGAGATAACCAGTTGACAGCGAGCTGGCATCTCTGTTCTTGAAATTGGCAATGACTTGTGGCAGCAGGGCCATAATCCAGAAACCTAACGAAATCATACCAATAGCGAAGGAAGATTGCTCACGAATATCGTGAACACACTCACCAAAGATGTCCCAAATCCAAGGCACATATGTGAAACCAGACGGATCCATTCGAATACATGTTTGCATCAAGGTTATATTCGAATTGATAGTGGATATTGTTCCTAGAGTAGTTGTTGTTGTGGACATGTTATTGTTCTTCCAAACTAGTAACGCTTTAGATTTCGTTCACACAAACAAAAGTGGTGAACGAGTTTAGTCAAGAAATTATTCTAAACTTTAAAAGTAAAAGTGTTGCAAAATACCAGTACTATTCAATCTAACAATCATTTAGTACAAGCTGATAATAAATATTGAATTTAACATCAAGCCAATCATCACGGGTGGATGTTTTTCACTTTTTTTCTATGAAGATTCACACAACAAATGTTTTTGCTACCAAATATTTCACAAGCGGCAAACTTGTCCAAAATTGGCACCCATCTCAGCTTGGTTGGAAACCCCAATGGTTAAGTAATTAACACCGATTATAAAACTTGCAACAATGTTGCCATAATTCGAAACCATCCTTTTATGGCTGTGTAATTATTCAAAGTTTTGTAATTGAGTTTAAGCAATTATCCTCAATACTATGATTGTTACTTTTTTTAGGTGGTGATGATGGTTGTTTAGAAGGACTTAATTTCATAACTTGCTCCATCAACAAAACTGGTACAATTAATTGGTTTTTCGGATTTGATTTGATGATAATTCCACTAGGAAGTGTTTGTAACTTCGGAATCATGATGAATTTTTGCTTTTCTTTGTTGGTGTACACCATTCTTCTTCTTCAAAATGCAAGACATCGTTCACTCGTTTGTTGATGGGAGTATTTTGGTGATTTCATATTTGATGATTTTCCCAAATTATTAGAAGAATTTGAAACTAAGAGGCTTATAATTATGTTGTGGTGTTAATCCATTTTTTATTAATTTTTATTTTTAATAAAAGTCTTAAAAAAATATTCAACCCTTTGTGGTCCAATGTGGAGATGATGATTTTCGGGATGGTTTCTTATGGTGATGCTACCAAACTTTCACGGCACTATGGTAACACCATATGAATAGTATTAATATTAGTAATGTTTTGTATTATGTTAAATTGGAAATTATTTTATATGATGGAAACTTGTGGTGATACCTCTCGTCTGATCATTCACCAACCATCATCATTATTATATATCAAGATAATAGTAGTATTATGATGGAAATATATTTTTAGTATAATTTTTCTTTGGAAAAACAATTTTCACTAAAATCTTCATCACTGCTAGATGTACTGGACAAGTTGGAAAACTATCAATGTAACATTGTTCTAAATGGTCAATAATATCATACCAGAATTTGTCCCGTGAATTTTGATAGGAATAGGTCCAACCGAAATTACATCATAACTCAACACGTACTTCATCAAATTGCACTATGTCTTCAACACTACTATTTAACTAGATAATAAACAATATTGTTTATTATCATTTAGGAATTATTTGGCATAAATTTATCAAGATCCTCTTTGCATGTATTTTCAAACAACAAATTCATCATCAACAATACATATACAATATCAATTTAATTCTCTAAACATGTTACATCCATCAACAACAGTTCAAAGGCGAAGACAAATTACAATACCAATCAAATTATCAAAAAATGGGAGGAAAGAAATCAAAAGTTGTTAACAAACCTACATCACCTCCCCTGCCTACTATTCTTCTGTTGGGATTTGAAGGAAGTGGCAAAACAGTCTTCATACGCTCACTTGCAAGTTACACACAACAAGATATTTACAAATCGGAAAAGTTGGAAATTCTAATAACAAATCGTTGCATTGATGCATTTGCAAGTTTATTGAATGAAATGAATGATCAGGTGAGAGAGGAAGTGTTTAGAATTAGTTCGGATGATAGTTTGGAAATTCAAAATGTGAAAAAAGTACTCGGCTCTCCTACTCCCAACGTAACATGGTTTAATATATTGAAAGGATTTTCGGATAATTACTTATTATTTGTGGAGTTGTGGAAGAGTACTGTGCAAGTTAGAGAATTTGCAAAGGAAAGAATATTTAGTAATAGTCACAATAACTGGACGAATTTTGCAAATTATGACAAGTTTTTCTCATTACTTGATAGAGGAAGAATTTCTACTGATCTACTGAAATATATGTCCCAAAAAAGAGAGCGAATTTCAGATTTAAAGATCAACCCAACTGGTGAAGTATATAATTTGGTTGATGTAAAGAATCGGCTGTCTTCAGTCACAGAGAATAGATGGAGGAGGTTTTCAGAGTTGGCTCAAACAGCAAGATTTGGACCAAAGACTGCTTTGATGAGGGTTTTAATGAAATGCACGAATCAATTGAGTTATTTAAAGAGATTTTAACAAACAAATTTACAAAAGATTTGAGAGTCGTTGTAATTTTTACAATGGCAGATCTGTTTCTTGCAAAACTAGCTAATTCAAACACCTCAGAGTTGGAATCCAATAGTGATAGAGTGGAATTGAGACAAATTGAAAACTTAAAGAGTAGTGAACGAATTGCATTGAATTCCATTATTGACAGATATCAAAATGTGTTTGAATATATAAGAGAAGGCGAAAAATTTGAATATCATTTCATCAATACGCTATCTGACCTCGAATGTTATGAATCACTATTGAGATCATCCACACAGTCAACCAATGAACATGTTTACATTTCCAAATCATTGTTCACCACAAGATTAATAACATATCTTTACAAAACACTCTGTAGGCAACCATCAGTACTATCAGACATCATACTAACCACATGTTCAGATTGAAATATTCAAAAGCTTTACAATAATTTGAAGAATCAATTTCAAAGTTTCCTTTCGGAAAAACATTCAAAAAAAAATGTCGAAAGTTGTCTTTGGCGATCTTTTTATAAATTTTCATCATCAAGATGACCATCCCGAAATTTATGGCGGATCATCATCGGACCGATTGCTTTCTCAACACTTTGCATCAGTTTACGAGGAAAGAATTGCGAAAAACAAAAAGGTTTATGATCATTTAACAGCATTCTTTAAGAGAAAAAATCAATCTGCTGTGGAGTACATTGAAGAAAATCCGTTACCAGACAATGATTGTAAATTAGCACTTCTTAAAATTGTTCGTGCTGATGGTCGTGTTTTGGAACATGCATCGGATGATTTGAAGAATGATGAACTGGTTGTACTGGCAGCTATCAAAGAGAACGTTTCTGCAATTGAATTTGCAAGTCAAAGGTTGAAGACTGACAAGAATTTTGTGTTGAAGGCACTAAAATGTAAACCAAAAATGTTTGTGGATTCAACTCTGTTCGAACATTTACCACATTTTCACGATGATGACGAAATTGCGAGGTTGGCTGTTGAACAACAACCAAAATGTTTACAATATGTTTCAGCCAATTTGAAAAATAATAGAGATGTTATTTTGAAAGCAATCAAGAAAGACGGTTCAGTTCTAGAATATGTTCCAGACAATTTAAAAGATCGAGAAATAGTTCTATTATCCACCAAAAGTTCTAGATATACGTGTACTCTTAGATTTGCACCAAAAGAATTTACTGCTGATAAGGAAATAGTATTGAGTGCTGCTAACTCTCCAGGTTTTTATTTCTTATACGCAGCCGAAAGCTTGCGATCAGATAGAGATTTTGTTTTGGAAATTGTAAAGAAGAAAGGAGATAGTTTGAGAGATGTTTCACCACAATTTAAAAAGGATAGAGAAATAGTTTATGATGCTGTTAAATCTGGAAGGGCTTTACAATATGCAGATCCTATTTTCTGGAAGGATAGGGAAATAGCGACTCTTGCTGTTTCGAAAGATGCTCACTCGCTCTCCTCACTGACAGATCTGAAAGAAGATAGAGAATTCATTTTGAACTGTATTTCTGGAGCAAATAATTTTTTCACTTTTCTTGATTACGTTAATTCATCTCTAGCCAATGATAATGATTTTATTGACGAGTTATTGGATATTCAATGTAAATACAGCAATGCCATGTGGTATTCCAAAGAGGATTTCAAAGCACTTAATGCATCACGACAAAAAAGAATCGTCAACATTGATCCAGCGTGTTTCGAAAATATATCTCACGACGAGTTAAAAACTGATAGACAATTAATTTTAGACTGTATACTATCCGAGCGTAAAGTTTTAGAGAATTTAAATGAAGAGTTTAGAAATGATAGAGAATTGATCAGATTAGCTGTAAAGCAACATTATGGGGCTCTAGAATATGCTTCTGATGAGCTGAAGAACGACAGAGAACTGGTATTAGAGGCAATTTTATTTGACTCAACAAATTTTACCTTTGCGTCTAAGGAATTGAGAATGGATACAGAAATATTAGAGTGTACAATAATTAAAGACAGTACCTTCTTAGAATATGCTCCTGAATCTGTGAGAAGAGACAGAGAATTTGTTTTAAGAGCAATTAGAAATTCATTTAATACTATTTCTCAATACTTTGGATATAATTTGAAAGAAGATAGAGATTTAATATTGGAACATGCTAAAAGAACAGGAAGCATCGAAACTTTGCCACAGGAATTCAAACAAGATAGAGAAATAGTTTTAACAGCTATTCAACTTTATGGAAGTGAATTTAAATATGCAAGTCGCTCTCTCCTAAATGATAGAGAATTATTAATAATTGCACTAAGAAATGGGTTCAGATTGAGTGATTACAATGAAATAGAATTAGATAGAGAGATTGTTTATGAATCATGTAGATACGATCGAAATAATCTAAAGAATGTTCCAGAACAATATAGAGATGATGAGGAAATAGTTGAAGCAGCAATATCTTATACAGAGACAGGGTACGGACATTATTTTTTTGAATGTGTTTCAGATCGATTAAAGAGTAATGTAGATTTTATGAGAAAGATGGCAAAGATTTATGGTTATGTAATTCATTACGTTCCAGAATCACTTGCAAATGATAGAGAGCTTATTTTAAATGCTGTCAGTCAAGATGCAAGTACCTTACAGTATGCATCTGAAGAATTGAAGAACGATAAGGAAGTCATCCTTACAGCTTTAAAAATATCAGCAGAGTGTTATCAACATATCTCTGAAGAAATGAAAAATGATGAAGAAGTATTAGAAGCATTGAGAAAATGGTTGCCTGCAGAATTTTTAAAGAAACCAGTGAATCTTAATAAGGAAGCAGCAATGATTGCATTAAGACTTAGATCACTAAATGATTTAGACTATTCTTTTAAAAATGATAGACAGTTTGCCCTTATGGCTGTAAATGTAAATATGAATAATCTTTTGTATGTTTCCAATAGACTGAAAATGGATAGGAACTTTATTTTGGAGATTGAACCAAAAACTTACGATATACTTAACGTACCAATTAGGTTAAGAGAAGACAGAGAAATAGCTTTGAGATCACTAGAGCTAAGTGGTGATTCAATTATGCACTTGTCTGCAGAGTTAAAGAATGAATTTAAAAATAATAGAGAAATTATGCTAAAAGCCATCAAAAGCGATGCTGTTGCATTCCTTTATGCCAGTGAAGAACTGCAAAACGATGAAGAATTTGTTTTGGAGTGTGCTTCTGTCAATGGAAAGGTTTTGCAATATGTACCTCTTAAGTTTATACATAACAGAAATGTTGTTCTAAAATGTGCCCAAAACCATCAAGACACACTTCAATTTGCAGTACCTGAATTCCTAAACGATAAGGAAATTGTAATGCACGCGGTTAGTCATGAAACAAGTTATTCTGCCCTCTGTTATGCATTGTTTGAAATGAGAAATGATAGAGATATTGTTCTGAGAGCTATACAGCACGATGTTACAGCTCTTGAGGTAGCCTCTTACGAAATTATTAGTGATGAAGATTTTATTGCTCAAGCAATGGATATCAATATTGAATCACTTCGTTTTGCACATTATTCATTGAGATACAATACTGAATTCCTCAAACGAATGAATAAGAATAATAGAATAGTTGAAAACGCTTCAAAGAAATTGAAGAAGACAATTGATTTCGATAGTTTAGTGAAACAAAACAAATAATTAGAAATATGAATTTACTTATTGTTTGATCCTTTTCTTCTAATCATACAAATTACAACCATTACAATAACTGCAACAACACAACACACAATTGCAGCTCCAGCAATTGAAACTGAAATGGCGATAATAGCTTCTTCAGAGAGTTGATTAGATTCAGTTCTAGTTGTTATGGTAGTTCCGTTGCTATCGGTAATAATCTTAATAGATATTCTTAGGGTTGTTTGGCTTAACAATTTCCTTCTTGAGATTAATGTCAATTACTGAAAATGATGTCAAATGAGAAGTCAGACAAGTTACAGTCCATTCTTCAATCTTAGTTTCCACTCCATCTAATTTCCATTCATTAACCAATTCATCAAAATACATGCATGTCAAATTTCCATAAAATGTTGATGGCTTTTGGAATAATATTTGAATTGGATTATCTAATTTAGAAACTTGAATCTTTTCTCCGTTTGTTAAGGCAAGTGAAATTGTGATAATATCTGAAACAATTGAAGAAGTGGTTGTGTTTGAAGTTGTCACATTTTCTCCTCCCTTGGAGACAGCTGTTAAGAGTGAAATTAATGAGGAAGTTGTTTGATTAGAAACATAATTGGAAAAATCTGAAGGGAATGAAATTGAGATGGACGAATTGGATGTAGAGTTATTTTCTGAGCTACCAATTGAAATTGATTTGTTTGACAATTGACTTGTTTCAATGTTTTCAATAATAACTGGTGTACTAGTGACATTTACACATTCTCCATTTGTAGACTTCAAACAAACAGGAATCGAACAATCTAGTCCATAATATCCACTATCACAAACACAACTGTCAACTGCCTGACATTTTCCATTCGAACCACAAACATTTGAATTATTATAAACAATTCCATAACATGTTGCCAAACACACAGTTTTAAACGCATCCATAACATATCCAGTTGGACAAACAGCTGTCAACTTTCTTATTCTATTATTACTAGTATCTGTGAAAAAGATTTCTCCAGATTTGGTAGTAACAATTACTCTTGGTGCATTTAAATTAGATTTGGTGGCATCTTGTTGATTATCTCCATTGTAACCTGATGACCCACTTCCAGCAATTGCTGTAATTATTCCATTTTTAGAAATCTTTCGAATAGTATTACCATTCGGTTCAGCAATATAAATGGCTCCGTTTAGTTTGGAAATAGCAACACCATTCACATTGTTAAAAGTGGCGAATTGAGCTAGTCCACCATCACCTGTGTGAGAAGAATTTCCATTGACACCTGTCACGGTTGTGATGATATTTGTGTTGAGATTATAACGGATAACATAACTGTTTGGTGATGCACATCCAATGAGTAATTCATTAGAATCACTATCTGATTCTATTCCAAAAGGATAACTAAACAACATGTTCATACGAAACTTTGTTAGAAACTTACCTAAGAGTTGAAAGTGTTTTTGTGATCATCGTTGAAATGTTCACCACTCTAATTCTACTGCCATATGTATCAGCAATGATCATTTGCATGTTGTTTGGATTATCTTGGTTGATCAGTTTAATATCTAGTGGTTGTGTAAATCTTGATTGATTGGCAAGTAAGCCATCACCATTGAATCCAGAAACACCTGTGCCAGCGAATGTGTACAGCTTGTTGTCCTTGGAAGAAACTAGATGAATTCGATTGGCATAGTTTCCAGCAATGTAAATATCATTGTTATTCGAAATAAACAAACCGTAAGGTCTGTTAAGTGTCGAGTTGACAGCAAGAATTCCTTCTCCAGTGTATCCAGCTGTTCCGTTTCCAGCTACTGCTTCTATTAATCCTGAATTATTTCTCAATACTCGTACTCTATGATTCACTTAGGATTCGAACGACATGTAAACTAAACAACATGGACTAAACTTACTAGTATCTGCAAAGTACAAGTCTCCACTTCTTTCCTCATAAAACAAACCAATAGGGCTATTAATTGTGGTGGCCAATCCAGTCAATCCATCCCTGTTAAAACTTGTTTGTCCAGTACCAACAATAGTTTGAATCGAATACTTGACATCGATTCTCTGTTGTGCAGATACAACAGAAGCAACAACACAAATCAGTGATATCATCACCACTATCATGATCGTTACACAATGAATGTTAAACATCTTTTTTTTTTTTAAATATTGTTTCTATCATTGTCCTCCGCATTACATAATAGTTTAGTAATCATCTAATGATGTTTGACTGTCAGTGCTCTATACATTTTAAAGCAATTATGCCTTACTACTTGGATATATTTGGAAAATCATAAAATTCCAAGAAGCCCTCTAAAAAAATATAGAATTTTGTTTGTTTCATTACATTGTTTTTAAATTCTTTTTAAATACAAAATTCCAGATGTGTATTTAATTGATTACAATGCAGGTTTACAGTCAGTGTTAACTTTTTGTAATAATTTACTAGTCCATGCTTTCGTCCATGTTATCCTCATCATCCTCATCATTTGCACATTGATATTCCTTATCATAATCTTCCTTCTTTAAGAAAAGTGCCCAGTCAACTCGTGGTTGAATTGAATTTTGGTTCAATACTGAGGCAACAATATGTCCTGCAAACATTTCAGTTTTGTAAACTGTTCCATTATCATCCACAGTAATTGGAACACTGACATATCCTCTTGGTATTTCTTCATCATCAATGACAGGCCATTCCCTTTCTCTTACTTTTTCCTTTGGTTCGTTGTCATCCTCATCCTCATACCAAACCTCACCTTCTGTTTTTTGATCACCCAACCATTTGCCAGTTTCTGAAAATACACAAAAAGTTGTAATCCAACCACTGATAAAAGAAGGTCCTGAACCTCCTCCTAAAAAGTTAGCTACTCTATTCCACCATTCCTTATCTGGATTTCCCTTAATGGATTCCACAAATTTATCCAAAACTGGGAATAAATATTGAGACCATTTCTTCATACATTCTTCCTCAGTATCAAATTCAAGCAATCGATTAGCTCTTTCTCTAATTTTAATCCAATCTTCAACTTGTCCTAATAAAGTAACACTTGGTAAATTGCATTCCAATTCAAATTTGTAATCAAAATACTTTTTCATAGCTGCCATCAAGACAACTGCACCAACCATTCGATCTGATTGAGTAGTTGTTGTGAAATCTGGCATGACCCATTCTCTTACACTTGGATCCTTAATATTTTTGGCAATTTCACTTGTCATTCGAATAGAAAGATCTTCATAATTGGCAGTATATAAAGTTCCAATACCTTTCACGACTAATTCCTTCTTTCCATCAAAATCAACGAATTTACTTCTCAACTTTTCTGATCTTTCGTTTACATAATTCGAAAATTGAGAGCAAATTGCAATCCAAACGTCATCTGGTTTGATTACCCAATGATGATGTTTCGAATAGGCTTGTACACCACTCATCACAAACGAATTACTTCCAATATTAAATACAGGTGAATTTCCAAAGCTTGACTGAATTGGCTTGATGTCATAATAATCAGTGATCGGTTTCGTCGACTTTCTATCTTCCGGAAGAGATGGAAGGACTTGTTTCGGATCAAATGCATCACCATCTACCTTCACAGTTTCAGGATGGACTTGAGTCACTTGGAATGTTATTGGCATTTTTTTTAAAACGTTTACAATTCGAAAACGGAAGTTTACAAAATTCAACTCCTACTCAAGTTCCATTATTTTGTTTTTTACAAATGAAAACGAAAACATAGTGTTCTTTCTTGATATTTGAAGGTAATATTTCATCAAATCTTACAATATGCCACGTCTGGAGATTGGCTTCACACATGATTTTAAGAAATTTGGCAAACAACTTTTTTGTGTTTTAAAGTTCTTTATTTTGAAACATCACAAGAAATCAAACAACAATCTTTTGATAATTAGCTGAAGATTGAGCCAACTTTATATATATTTAATAATTTCATCTCACCATCTGGCATAATTCCACCTTTAAACAACCATCACAGGCTCTATATAGTGCTATATTTTCTTTCCGGTATCATCAACAAATGAGGGAGATACAAGCAAAATGGCAGAAACACAATTTCCTAGTAGAAAAACGTGATTACGCAGAAGGTTGCACCCGCTTTATTCAATACTTTTACTGATATTCCATGTTCAATATAACAACGGTCATCATCAATAAATATTAATATTTATTCAATTTCATCAAATGATGAAAAAATGAAAAGGCCAAAAAGAATGCGTGCGCACTATTGGTACTACTAAGGACCTCCACTTTATCATGTCCTGATTTTGTGCTTAACACCTAACATACAAACAACCAACAACACGCCAATAAATTATTCCCATCTCAAGTTGTTTAATAACAACAGCTTAAAAGATTGCCCAATTCAATGGGATGAAATTTATTCAAAAAAAACAAACAAACAAAATGATTAGTATTGATAATACCGAAAATAATTCATCAACATCCCTCACCATTAGCAACCATGCAGAGAATTTGCATTTTCGGAGCAACAGGAGAAACTGGTCGTCAGGTTTCCAGATACATTCTTCAATATAGTACCGGTTTTAGCTTAACACTTGTTGGAAGAACACGAGGAAGATTAGAGAAATTGAGAGATGATTTGATGAAGGAATTACAATCAATTTGTAATTTGGAAGGAAGAATTGAATTACATGAAATACAATTGGAAGATTGTCTGAAGAATTCAGATGATGATTCGATAAGGAAGTTATTGCAAGGTCATGATGCTGTTGTGAATACTATTCCTCCATTGGATGATCATGAACATACTGTGAAATTGGCAGAATTGGCCATTGAATGTGGTGTCGATTGGATTGATCCACACATGTCACCAAGCACTTCAAGATTATTGAAACCACTCCATGATAGAGCTAAGGAACAGAATATTACCATTGTTTGTCAAACTGGAATGTATCCAGGATTGGGAAGTCCACTTGTGAGGGAGGCAGCAAAACATTTACCAAATATGTCGAGAGCTACAGTTGCCATCATGTCAAGAGAAGAAGGTGGTATGGAGATGACTTCAGGAATTAAAGATATTGTGGATTATATGAAAGAATCTGGAAGTAATGTCATGATAGATGGTAAATGGACTTCTGACAGTGTCATGGCAAGAAAGTTCAACTTTCCATCCATTGGTGACAAGACACTCTCGTGCTATCCTTTGGAATTGGAAGAAATGAAGAGTTTGGACATTCCATCATTGAGAAATACAGGAGCTTATATTACAGAAATGGGAATGGTGCCAGATTTAATCATGCTTGGCCTTCAGATGAGTGGCAAATATATGTCATGCATGGTAAAACCTCTTTCCAAACTTCTTCCTTGGTCAACTGGTAAAGTGAAAGCTCCATTCGGTGCAGCAGTTCAAGTAGAAGCATTTAACGATGAAGGTGCTTCATATTTCTTATCCATTTATCATGACCATGTCTACAACCTGACAGCAGCTTCCATTGCCTCTGTTCTTGAACAAATGATGGAAAACAGATCGAACAAGACAATTTCAGCTGGTGTGCACTATGCAGGCATGTATGTTGAACCTGGAAAACTGATAGAATCATGTAAACAGAAAGGAATGCGCGTAGATACTTATCAATCATCCTTTCATCAATTCAAAAAATAAAGTCAAGATACAACTTCCAATAAGCACTGGAACAACAAAAAACCCCGCCAAAAAACTTTGTACATCTTTTAAAAAATCAAAAAAATGTCTTCACATCGTGCACGGGATCGTTTGAAAAGATCGGAAGAAGAAAAACTTAAAAGCTTTGAAAAGATGGTTCCCCTTATTAGGGATAAAATTATCAATACACCAACCGCTCCGATAGAAGAATTGTTCAGCAAATTAAAACAAGGCTTGTTACAAATTCTTAGTAATGATTTAGTTGATAAAGATGAATTAAATGATGATTATGATTATTGGTGTGCCATTTCGGAGCATTTAAAAAGGATATTCATGAAGATCAATCATTTAGGAGAAACACCATTTTGGCTTGATGAACGTTTCCCTCAATTTGAATATTTGCAAAATTTTAGTTTGGAAGATGATGATGAAATGGTAAGAAATTACAAATTATTGGCGTTAGGTATTGCAGCTTTTAGAAAGATAGGAGCTGAAAGTATTGAACAGCGTTTGAATAATTGTTTTTTCAAACATTTCTATTATTTGGATGAGGTGATGCGAAAGTGTTTTGATTGGAGAACAATTCAAAGTAATACAACTGATAACATGATTGTTTTTCAACAATCACTCAAGATGCCAGAATGGAAAATTGGACTACTTGTCGTATTTACTGAATCGATACGTAAATATTTCCTATCAGAACATTTCAGCTTCTATCTGTTTATTATACGATATTATGATAAAAGAAATTGGGAGGACAAACAAATAGTAATGACTGCCATGGATTATACGTTAGTCAACGAACTTTTCAATATACCCCTTGACATTTTTAATAAGACATTCAAAAACACTTTGGCCAAGATAGCATACCAACATTTCCCAGTCGAAAATACTAAAAAGTTAAAATCGTTAAAAACTGCTCTGCGTAATAGTTTCTTTATCCATTGCAAAGATCAACTCATTGAGGAGGTATCATACGATCTTTCAGTGCTAGACAATGATTCTTCAAACCAGAGCAACACCTCCAACAAAATGAGAATAAGAAAACTGTTAGCTTTTTTCAAGTTTGGGGACTCTAAATTATATTTAGGTTCCAAGTTAATTAGAGTTCTTTCGTATACAATGGTTAGTGCTGAAGATGATGTAATATTGGAATGTCTGGATTTTTTGGGGTTTAACAATTTCACAGCATACTTTTCTTTGATCTTAATACCAGTTCTTTTTCAATTGTTGGATAATACGAACGAACAAATTCAAGAGGAATCATCTAAATGTGTCTCAAACCTTTTGCTTAGGAATGAATATGGCTCAGATTTAAAGTATATTTTTGATGAGATATTTGAAAGAGTAATGAAAAGTCCATCTCGATACACAATTAGAATGGCTCATGCTGCCTTCAAATGTTTTGACAAGAATGAAAATATCAAGGAACAATCATTACAATTCTTCGAAAAAATTGAAGAAATATTACCCTACTCAATCTCAAATAATTTGAAAGACAATGTGGATTTTCTTTTACAAGCAGCTAATTTAATTGCTAAACAAGATAAGAGATTACTTGAAAAACTTCCTATTGAGGATATTATTAATTACTGTATAACCGCTCACGTAACACTTCCTTCACCATTTGTCGATTTAGCTCAGGCAAGCAAATACAGTGATGAGATTTATGCAACCATACTTGCCTTATCGAATGCTATGCATCATCATTTTCTTCTGGCTGATATTTTGATCAAACACTTTGTTGAGACAGGTTTGTTATTGATACCTCAAGAAATTATAGACCACTTGCTCAACAACATCAAGCTACATGTATATATGGATGAATATGCTTCCTTGCTAAGTACCGGTTAGCTCATTTTCACTCTGATATTTATGATTTGGCGGACAAATTAAAGTTAAATACCAGTATTTTGCTTGATGCCGAACAAATATCTGAGGAAGTAATCTTAAATTTTTTCAAATTAGTGGAAATTCAAATCGAAGACGAAAAAACTAATCATTGTCATTTTGTTGAGTGGTATTGGGTTTTGGAAAAACTTGACTTATTCAATCTCCCAGTTTTCATAACAACAAAAAGTAATAGACTGAAACTATTGTTAGCAACAGCAAAAAAGAGTAATATATCACAATTTTGAACTTTTGCTCTTAAATTGATTTTATTGAATAAAACAAATTATTATCTATTTTTTTCGAGTTGAGATTGTAATAATTTAGTTTCATACAAGTTATGTTCGTTTCCAGAATCATGGATTGTAATATTGTCAGCCCAACTAGTAATTAGTTTAGGATCAGAACTTGTGACAATGTGATGTTTTGTGTTTTGATGAATCTCAGTAGCAAGAATTCTCTCATAACCATCATCTCCAACAAATGATTTAGAATATTTTAAATTCTCCAAATCAGTGTAAACCATAAAGTTCTTTGGCATTCTGAATAATCCCTCTTCATGATTTTCTCCAAACTCTAAGGCAGTGCATGATAACATGGAATCATCAGAATTAACAGAGAGATGATCACATGGATAATCCAAATCATCCTCTTCGTCATCTTCCTCTTCCTCTATCAAGGCATTAAGAAGTTTTACAATTTCCTCAAATACTAGATTATGTTTTCCAAAGGCAAATGTTGAAAGCTGATCATGAATTTCACAATTTCTAAAGAATTGATATCGGAAGTACAGTGTTCCCGTAAACTTATCAGTAAATAATGTCTTGGCTCGGCCAGTCTGAGTATCAGATGGCTCTCCATAGGTCATTTCATTATTGAGACGATAGATTTGATGTTCAATAAAATCTTCTGCAGCTTGTTGGACCAACATTTTTGCATGTGGACTGAGAAAGACATCCGTTTTTTGTCTTCTTAATTCTGCTTGGACTACTTCTCTAAAATTAAGTTTAGAAAAACAGAGAGAGTCTCTAGTAGTGGTAAACTTCTCGTTTGGTGCATCTTCATCTAATTTAATCCTCTTGCTGCGATCCCATGTCCTATTTAGAGCTTTGACCTCTATATAGAAATCATCAGCAAAGTCAGTATGCTCATTGACACTCTCAAAGTTCGATACAATGTCCGTCACTGGTCCCATTATTTCCTTTTCCTTAATTATAGTGTCAATAACTGGATCATTGTGAGCTCTCTTTCTCTTCTTATTATGAACATAGTGACGAAGCCATGGAATTGACATGCACTCTTCGGTATCATCCTCATCTGACTCAGTACCATCATATGGTACCCCTGGTACATCAAGTGAAATCACAGGCGCTATTGTCTCTTCTTCTAATACGAAATTTCGTTTCATTTCAACATGTTCATAATTCTCTTCCTCAATATTTGGTTTGTAGACACCTCCATACTTTTTCTCGTAAGCCAATGCAGTTTTATCACTGGTCAAGCAAGAACACAATGAGCATGTCTCTGAGGTTACTCTCCGTTGTGCACTCAGTTTTTTAGCAATTTCTATTTCAGTTTTGTAATTATCAGAGTGTCCATACTTTTTCTCGAAAATTTCCACAATCTTTTGTTCGTTATTATGTTTGGAGAGTGAGGCGTGCATACTTTGCATCAGAGCATACTGCAAAGGAGAGGAATACTTGTGTTCCCAAGGTCCAAATGGATTACACAAATACTTGTCACACAAGTGCCTTACCATCTCCACATTGTTCATCATGACAGCTTCATTGAGAAGGTATGTTTTCACTTCAACAGGTGAAAGATGAGCCATAATGTACGACTTTACAGTGAGATCTTTTGGAATAACTCTATCTATGTGGTCCATTTGATCTGCATTAATATGCTCTGCCAGGGTTGAGGTTACTAAATCATACAGAGTAACATCTCCTTCCTTATTTTTCACTGTTAATGCCCAGTCCAATAGCTCGTAATTTTCTGTCCAAACTGCCAAATGAGTCAATAAGAAAACACCACTTCCAGATCTTACCATAGACCTCAATCCATTTGTGTACTCAAAGTTTGGCATTACATTGTCACCTATAAAGCACAAGTCCTCGATTTTAATTCCACAATCTCTGAGAGATTTGCAAATGTATTTAACTGCATTCATTTCACATGCTCCCTCTCTGACTTTAACTCTCGAAAAATGTTCAACCATAAAGAGAATATACTGCCTTGGTATTGTACAGTAATGTTCATCAAAAAGATTCCAATTATTTGTAATTTTTTGCTGGAATAATTTGGAGCATCTTCCATTTTCCTTGATGAAGTTGAGTAGGTTTCTATTCAAGATTGGAGTTTTTTCCAATTCCACCACATTCAACTTGGTTCCTGCCTCTTTCTGTGTTTTAATCATTTTGATTGCTGGTTCGAAAAGCTTTGAGAAAAATTGTTGAATGAAAACTCCACACGATTTCATTCCCAAATGTTCTACCATCTCATGGCCTAAAATGATTTCCAAACATGCTTGCAATAATACATTTCCTGTATGATGCTCCTCTCCGCAACTATCTATCCATTCCTTGGATTTATCGAAAAGATTTGGTCCCACATTAATATCATCTCCTTCTTCCTCTGAATCATATTCTTCAATACTTTCCACATCATCATACTTTTTCCATCCAATAAATCGATCATTCTTCTTATAAAATACCGAGTATCTGCTCGTTCTAGTATTATATATCAAATTATCAATAAATTCATGTGTCTTGTAAAACCTATTCGATAATTCTTGCATAAATTCATCAAAATCTTCATAATTATTACTCAATTCCTCATATTCTGCATTCAATTGTTCAATATCCTCCTTCTGCTGAGTATCAACACCATCTTCCGTACTCTCCACCATCATCTTTTGTCTCAACAATCTAATAACAATTTCCTTCCAAAAGAATTCCGATTCCGTCAATTCAAACCAACATTTGTTCACATGTCTAATACTAGCCACACTTCCGATTAGAGAAAATGGATCAAGTGCAAATGAAAATATATGTAAATAAATTTCATTAGGCAATGCCGAAAGCCCTCCCTCTTGATAATGACGATGTCGTCGATTACAATTATTATGATTATTATTGCATGTACTCGTAGAAGATGACGATGAATCATTCAAATTCATTCCTTCTTCACCTCCTGATACTTTCCGAAAAGCTGATGATAGTGATGATGATGATAATAACGAACACGTCGTCGATGCTTCCTTCAGCACGTGCTCTTCGTTTGGTCGTTGTTCCATTTTTTTTTGATGAGATTTTTGGTTACATTTTGGCGGGAGAATTTCAACTCAAAATTTGAACGCACGAAAGAATGAATAAATATTAAATTTTAACATTTGTTCGCATATGGATTTGGAAATATGGAGTCAGTGGAGGTAAGGAATGGAGTGCATGTCCAATCAGTTATGTTCAATTTCTAGTTTGATATCATTTTTATTTCCTTTTATAAGTAATTAGAAATTCTGGATAGCATTGGCAACTATCGTAAACTACAAATTCCTTGTACATGTTTGGTTTTCCTAGAATACTATCAAATGTTCGTCCATTGGTGTTTGGAATGACACTTGGTCTTCGAATATTATTGAGAGATTTTCCCTTTTCAAGAGTTTCAATTTGATTACCAATCATGACTCGACAGAGAAACATGTGAAAAAGATCATTCGTTGGCGAGCAGTATTGATCACTCTTGGAACAATATTCTGCAAAATAAATTCCTGCACCGAATAGTCCAGAAAGTGAGCTCACTCTTGCATCTAAACCATGTTCACAAATAATGCTCACAACTTGTGAATCAGTGCCGTGCCAAAAGAATTTTTCATTAACTTGTTGGCATAATTTTACACTTTGAATCCAGGTTTTGGCTGTTGAGTTGGGTGGAACTTTTTCCACAGTTTTGACTGGGATGGGTTGGGGATTATCCTTGAAAGATTTCATTTGAGATTGTTTGGCTTGATATAATCCGTAGAGATTTGGATTTTCAACTCGTTCCACTTTGATAACTTCCAATTGAGTGTATTGTTTCTTGAAATACGTTTGATCCTTTCCACTTCCAAGAGTTTTCTTTTCACATGAATTATCCATCAAGTCTTGAATGGTTAATTTCATAGTATCTGTTACGTCCACAATCTTGAATCGTTCCTTATTGAACCAATATTCTGGAACGTTGCTTGATTCGGTTGTAGGTTCGAAACTTTCCATATTTTTAACTCGTTTCAGATCTTTTGTCAGAATATCCGAGGAGGAAGAAAGATTTTGTTTAGATTTCTTGTCTCTGCAAGCTACTAAATGATTAATAGTCTCATATCTTAATTGAGATATGGAATTATCACTCAATAGAGTCGCTAATGATGAATTAGAATAGAATGTGAATTGATTAGAGAGAATTATGCTCAAAAACTCAGAACTCTGAGTGTTGTAACTCTTTCCAAGTCTGAATCTTGTTTTGGAATTGGTTAAACAGAGTAAGGACTGAGCCCTTGTACAGGCAACGAACAGTAATCTTCTCTCTTCCTCTATTTCATTCTTTTCCTGAGCTTTGTAGTATGGAATATTTCCCTTCTCAACTCCTGCCACAAATACAATTCCAAATTCTAAACCTTTGGCTGCATGGATTGTGGAAATTGTAATGGAATTTGATGAATCTTTTGAAATTGGTTCCATCTCTGTGGAAATTGAAATGCTTTGTAAAAATGATGAAATTGAGGGAATGGTTGATTTGGACTCAAATTCTTGACACATGTTAATTAACTCTTTCAAATTCTCCCATCTTGTTTCGAACATATTCTTCTGTGTGAATTTCAAGTAGGATTCATAATCAATCACCCGAATAATATCTTGCATAATAGTTGAAGGAGAATGAAGATTAATTTGAGACTTTTCGATAAAATCTATTGTGGAAATGAGTGTTTGTAACTCATTGGCTCCTAGATGTCCAGCAATTTCCTTGTTATGATTCTTGATAATTGACCTCAGAGACATCTTATTCTGAGCTGCAAGCTTTATCAACTTGGACTTTGTCTCCTCAGTGATGCATCTTCTTGGAACATTCACACAGCTCAACAGGAAGTGATCATTATCTGGATTTGCAATAGCTTTTGCATAGGAAAGAATATCTTTCACTTCCATAGAGTCGTAAAATCTTGTGGAATTCAAAATTCTGTAAGGCAACTTTTTCCTATCAAAAATGTCTTCGAATACTCGAGAAGCAGAGTTGACTCTGATAAGGATTGCAAAGTCGCAATATTGAATGTTGTTATTCATGTTTGTGAGTTTTACAATTTCATTTGTAATGAACTCGGCTTCATCAGAGCAACTGACTATCGAAACTGGTAAACCCGTGGTGTTTGAAGTGGTAGAGCTGATAGTTCTTAATCTGTTAGAATTGCTAGCTATTATTTTGTCTGAAAATTGGACAATACTTCTTGTGGATCGATAGTTTTCATTCATCATGATGACTTTCATGCTCTTTCCCTCCTTCTCATACTTTTTGATAACTTCCCGCATTATTGAGCTATCACTGAATCTGAAAGTGTAAATGTTTTGATCGGAATCACCAACCAAGAAGATGTTCTTCCTCTTTGAGTTCAAATGCATGGCAATCTTGTATTGTAACTTGTTGATATCTTGAAATTCATCGACCAATAATACTTCACATTGATTGGCATACTTTTCTCTCACTAGAGGGAATTTTTCAAACAAGTACACAACATGAAGCAATAAATCATCAAAATCCACCCCATTGTGTTTCGATAAATACTGTTGATATTCTACAAATAGTTCAGCAATGACCGTTTCCTCAATTTCTTGATGGAATGCTTTCGAATATTCATCAGCTGAAACCTGTTGATTCTTACATCGTGATATCGTTTGTAAAACTAGAGTTGGAGAGAGTTTCTTCTCCATATCCTCCAAAGACAAACTCAATGGAAGTAAACTTCTAATGAAATGATTAGTTGATGACTTGTACAAGCTCCTAATTATTGACAGCTGCTCTTCCGAATCAAATATCATAAATTTCTGATCCAATCCAACAAGACGAGTCAAATGATGCATCTCATTTCTCAAAATATTAGCACAAACTGCATGAAACGTTCCAATATGACTGAAATCCTTTGCATTAATTTGAAAATCGTACAATTTCACAAGGTGAACAAGTCTTGAAATCCTTTGCATTAATTTGAAAATCGTACAATTTCACAAGGTGAACAAGTCTTGTTTTCATCTCCTGAGCAGCCTTGTTAGTAAAAGTCATGGCAAATACATTCCTTGGTTCAATTCCTTTAACAATACACAAGTAGGCAATCCTGTAGGTGATGGTCTAAAATTTGGATCCACCCAAAGTTTACAATGACCGTTACGAATTTTTTAAAAG